GGATAGGGAGTAGCTCTGTAGCGGACAAAAAAGCTCTACAGAGAACCATTAAAATTGCCCAGAATATCATCGGGCTCCAGCTACCAACCCTGGATGACATCTTCACATCCCGCTGTCTGAGGAAGTGACAGAGCATCCTGAGAGACCCTTCCCATCCTGCTTATAACTTTTTTGAACTGTTGCCGTCTGGCAGAAGATATAGAACAATTAAGACATGGACCACATGTTTTCTGAATAGTTTTTATCTCAGAGCTATAGTGGCACTTAATAATGAGCTTAAAGACCACCAGTAGTGAATAGTTAGTTGGACTGTGTTACTTGGCCTGCGGTGTAGATGTTTGTATTTTTAGTGGGGGAGTTTTAGTGGGTAGGGAGTGTTGGGGGAATTTTTTTTAGTGGGTGGGGTGTGTTGGGGTATTTTATGTGTGTGCATGTGTCTGGCCTCTGGATGTCTCTGAATTTCATTGTATGGGCATACAGTACTGTGTATATACTTACAATGACAATAAACAAACAAACAAACAAACAAACAAAATACAACCTTAACTGCTTTTCCTTTAAATCTATTCCTTCCAAAAAAGTTACTGTTTTGGACTCGCTTTCCCAGACTGCCCCATGCCACGTTTAGGATTATCTTTGGGAAGAGCTAATCCTAAAATAATATTTTTTCCAAATATTCCCTCTAACACCACTCCACTGCCTTCAGAAGAAATATTTCATTTTTGGGTAGTGTCACACCAAAATGTTTTCATTATTTGAGATTTTTAATAATACAAAATTATAGGGAAAAAGATAGAAACTAGGAAAAGTGCAGAGAGAAAAAAAAATATACTGGTAGACAGAGAAAATAAATTGTGTTTAGTTAATTTCACTTTCCTGGATTATTCTCGGGGGAGTGCAGAAAAATAAAGAAAACATTGGATACAAATCACTAGTTCATGTAAAATCTAATGAGCAGGTGAAGAGACAAACTTACTTTCTTTCTGTTTCTGGTGTTGATACTACACTGCTGAAGCCAAGGGATTCCTGTAAGAGAAGATTCATTGCTTTGAGCTGAAGCTGAACAACGGCAGGCTTTATTATCAGACTGATGCAGAATACCAAGTCAAAGGCAAAAACAGAAATGGATCATTGCATCCATTGTGCTTACTTCAATCTGGGATCGCAGCTGTAGGGATGTGGAGCTGGCATCGGGTTTCTCCTAAAACAGAACAGATGTCAGGTTAGTGTAACATACCAGTGTGACAGTAACAACAAGTGAAGTAAAAGCAAACCACAAAAGAGCGAAAGAAATAGAGATTCAGTAGCTAACAAATCTAGACAGCATCTTAAAAAGCAGAGACATCACCTTGCCAACAAAAGTCCGAATAGTCAAAGCTATGGTTTTTCCTGTAGTGATGCACGGAAGTGAGAGTTGGACCGTAAAGAAAGCTGACCGCCAAAGAATTGATGCCTTTGAATTGTGGTGCTGGAGGAGACTCTTGAGAGTCCTGTGAACTGCAAGGAGAACAAACCTATCCATTCTGAAGGAAATCAACCCTGAGTGCTCACTGGAAGGACAGATCCTGAAGCTGAGGCTCCAATACTTTGGGCATCTCATGTGAAGAGAAGATTCCCTGGAAAAGACCCTGATGTTGGGAAAGTGTGAAGGCAAGAGGAGAAGGGGAAGACAGAGGACAAGATGGTTGGACAGTGTCATCGAAGCCACCAGTATGAATTTGACCCAACTCCAGGAAGCAGAGGAAGACAGGAGGGCCTGACGTACTCTGTTCCATGGGGTCACGAAGACTTGGACACTACTTAACGACTAAACAACAACAACATATGCTGAAAGGGAATGGGTTTTAGGGAGGAAAAAGACCTGTAGCAGTAAGTCTTTTTAATTATCTCTCTTTTTTTAAAAAAGGCACTGTCATACCTAGGTCAAAGGCAGATGACTATCCATTTGTACCAATGCTAAGATTGTAATATTGGATTTTATGTATGAAAGGAGGAAACACCCAGATTTCTTCTGTTAACATGAGAAATCCTGAGTTGAAAAAAGTATCGGATGACTGCCTCTTTATAAGGCTCTCCAGATGCTATTAGACTGCAACCCACACTAGTCCTAGCCTGCACAGCCAAGACTGAAAACCTGCAGGAATTGCAGTCAAATAGAATCCAGAGACCCTCCGTTGAGTGCTCTGGTAAAGATTATAATCCTAATAAGGCTTACTTAAAAATATGTTCCACTACTCTCTTCTGAGATATATGTCTGAATGGACACGCAATGGTCAGCTGAAAAGTTTTTGCCTGTCTGATTGTAGCAGCCAAATAACAGATGCCTCACTCATCAGTGGATTACTCTGGGAGCACCACATATGCCCTGTGTGTATGCAACACTGCCACTCAGTTATTAGCTAGCGTTCATTACAATGGGTGGTACAGAGGAAGGCATGCCAGCGTAAGTTAAACAGTGTGCTGTGTTACTGAATTTTCAGCTGCAGGAAAAAAAATCCTTCTGAAATGTATCACCAAATGATGGCTGTTAAGGGTGAGAAATGCAACGCTTCTGAACACTTGTGAATAAGACTATATGGATTACTGTACAACTCAAGCATGCCTTCTGTCCAGCCTTGATCCCAGCCCTGGACCTAGCCCTAGCTCCAGCCTTAACCCTAACTCTCTTAAGATAATTACTGAACTCACACCTCGCAACCTGTCCTTCTTCCCACACATGAAGTGAAACTTGAAAGGCAACTGCTGTGAAGATGACAGAGTAATGAAGGTAACAGTATATACCAGATTTCCTCTATCAAATATATACCATTCGATAGAGGAAATCTGGTTTGCTTTTTTAAAAAAATATATATATATTTAGCAATTTGTTGTCAAGGTGCCAATAAGTGAAACTTTTCAGCCAATCTTTGTATTTAAAATTAAAACAGTTGGAACTCTTTGCTGAAATCACCTCCTACATCTGCAGAATCACTCTACCATTCTTCAAAAATACTCACTGGCCAAAATTCTGTTTTTTAACACAGCAAGTCACAGGTAGTATAAAGCCCATTGGAAGCAAGGGAACTCTACAGATCCCCACTGATTCAATGGGCCTACTCTAGTGCAACTTACTATGCTAAGCAAGAGGATTTCAGCCAATGCTATATATTATTCAAATCATCTGGACCAAAGGACTTTTACAAATATGCTACCAGAGAAGAGAACTACAGGCCTTGAGACTACTCCACATTCTGGTTTCTGCATCTTTGAAAATAAGAAACAATGCTAAGAAGAATTCAAGCCAAAAAGTCAAAATCTTGCTATCAGGAAGAGAAGAACTAATCTATTATGTACACAAATAAGTAAGACATGACTTAATGACTAAACAACAACAAGCTAACAAATCATGTTACTTCTGCAACTTAAATGTATCTATAAACAAACTGTAGAAGAGTAACAGGAATAAAGTGCATAAGGTGAACATGTTATATGGAAATACCAGTAATCGCCACACTTTGTTTCATTAGGACATTAAACTCTGTTTCTCTTTTCAGAATATTTTCCATATTTTGTTTCCCTTGCAATGTCTTCTGCAGTCACTAGATGGATCAATGGCCTGTATTTGCTATATCAGCATGAACTGCAAACAAAGAATAAAGAAAGGGGGTGTGCATGCTAAGGTAAACAGCACTTTTGCCACACAAGACTTTTGAGTGTAACAAACTATTTACACTTCCTGTTCAGCTATCCTATTTTGGTCACTTATTTCTGTACCAAAATAACTACTGTTATTGTACCTGATTAATTCCTTCTGTCTGAGCATCTGCAAACTCATGATTCCCAGAGAAAAGGGAAAGTGAGGAATTATTAAATAAAGGAAACTGTTTCCCTCAGCACTTTTCAGCAATGCTGCACCCATGGTGGTCTCAAAAGGTATATAGAACTGCAACATGACTGGTTCAATGTAAGTCATCACACCTACTGTTCAGGAGTTATTCTGATCATGTGACACAAAAGGAAAATATTACAACAGAATATGTAGGAATGTATGCATACATGAAGTCCAATGGATTTCTCATAGATCTTCCTTTTGCGTATTACAACATTGGGAACTTTCCAAAAGGATTTCATACAAGAACCCATGCCCAATAAGGAGGGCAGAAGAAAGAGCTGAGTCACATAAGATGACTCAGCTCTTTCTCCTGAGTCAGGCACTTCTGGTTGCAACAGAAAAGTCACATATTCTCATGACTCAGAGGCTTGAGTCACAAGAATGGTACTCTTCCCAAGAAAACTGGGCTCATGCAGAAGTCTCTGTTTGTATTTCTAACCATTTTGTTCTATCTGTTCCAACAGAATTGTTGGAAAACAGCATTAACACCCAGAGGTTGAAATCCTGTTGCATAGCTCTGCATGTGCAATGGTCATGATACCATCTTCCATAGCAAATTATTGATGGTTATAAGCCAACTCATTCAAGGCAATTTTAGGGCACACCTGACTCATTCATACACAATGTGAAAAAAAGTCATATGCATCCTGAAATTGTCAAAGAAAGCCTTTAATCAGCTGTGATTTGCTGCTGCTGCTGACATCCTTGCTACGGAGCATGCAAAGCTGCACAATAGGATTTCAGCCAGAGTATCTGATGCATTGTTAACTGCCCTACAAATAAAGAATCATATTCAACAATACAGAGCCATTGTTTCTGTCAGCACTCAGGAACGGCAAACACATCAATACAGTTAAGGGAGAGTTGTCTTCAAAGTTTTTTGTAATTCTTTAAGCACACTACAGTGGGGTCTTGACTTAAGAACGGCTTGAGTTAAGAACATTTTGACTTAAGAACCACTCTCATAGGAAAATATTGACTTGACTTACATACTTAGATTTGAGTTAAGAACTGAAAAAAAACACGTGGGAGGCAGGGAAAGTGCAAAATATGAACTTTCAGTTAACTTGTTGGCTAATGAAAAGGGTGCCTGTCTGCTTCCTCACTCCTCCCAGGGTTTAGAGAGTGGATTGGGAGTCTTCAGACTGCTTGGTACTGCCTGGACTGTATTTTCCCTGCCTTCCCTGAACCTTTCTTGACGTAAGAAAAAAAGAAACAAAATATCCCCCTCTAGTGGTCGAAGGCAGAGTAGCAGCTTCCCATTAGTTTCTATAGACGGAAAAGAGCAGATACGGATTAAATGGTTTTCAATGCATTCCTATGGGAAATGCAGATTTGACCTGAGAACTTTTTGACTTGAGAACCGCCTTCCAATACGGATTAAGTTCTCAAGTCAAGACCCCACTGTATTACGTTGGTGCCTTTTTTATTGCACCCCTAGTCTCTGTAATAAAATGGCAACCAAAAATAGCCAAGCTACTTTCTTCCTTTCATTTGGAAAGATGGTAAAGACATAATTATTAAAAGCTGTCCTTATCTATTGAATCTCTTGAGTGCTGTCAATATTTCAGTGATTTTTTAATGCTTTAATCAATTTTAGATTTTTCATAGCGACATTCATAATTTGTATGGTTATAAATACTGTCTGTTCTACTACTGTATTGCTTTAATTATATTTTTTGTTATTGTGGTGTACTGAAGGTTTGTGAGTTTTTACCCCTGCGTAAACTACCCAGTATATTGCTTGCACTAATACGACAACATATAAATTGAATAAATAAATAAATACATTTAGTAGTTTGGAGTCAGTTTTTTTCAGTGAATGGAAACAACATATTATCTTTAAGGCACTAATATTAAATTTAGAATTTATTTATTTATTTATTTGTCAAATGAGACAGAATGTTTTTTTTAATTAATAATTGCATGCCATCAAGTCAGTTCCAACTCATGGTAACCCTTTCCAGGATATTCTATGTAAATAATACTCAGAAGTGGTTTACCTTTCCCTTCTTCTGTGCAGCTTGCCCATGTCTACACAGGATGGCTCTACTCACAGGAGGTACAGAGGAGAATTCAACTCCCAAACTCTGGCTTCGCAGCCAGATACTTAAACCACTGAGCAATCAAAGTCAGTTAAAAAAAAAAACTTTAAAAATTAAAATTAATTGTGGGTCAATGTTCCCTAATTTTCTGCACTTTGGGGTGGGGCTCCACCCCCTCATGCATAATTCCACCCACCTGCACAAGGCTCTTTTGAGACCAGAGCCAAAGAGTCTGGATGGGAATGTCACTGAACACTTAATCTGTTCTGAACCTCAGGTGTCAGA